CAGCGTGGAACCAAAACTTCCTTCCAAGACCGCTATGGGTTTCACACGTGATATACTGGATTTCCTTAATTACCCCTCCATCCTGGAAAGAACTGCTAAAATGCCATGAAGGCAGGGCTTGGCTGAGGCTGTAACAGCGGTGAATGGTTTTCCTGCTACTATTTTCTTCAAGAAAAGGACACATATTCTAAGCTTTGAAGTTTGGAGCAAGGGAAAGAATCCCATGCGGCGCGTATGCAAAGTAGAATATATGAGATCTGATCTGCCTTTTATAAATTCCCATTTGTCATACGTTAGCCCATTCTGCACATGCATATATATTCATCAACCGTAATAAATTCAATCAAGTTGGCAGTGAAAGATCGAGCTAGCAAATCTATACATCATTTGTGTGTAACCTCAGCACAGTCGTATATGAACGGTTTCCATTGCGCAATGTTTTGGGTAATAACTGTCTTTTTTGTAATGTTATTAAGAGAATAAAATTTCAAAGAATAAATTACATTATATATTATAATCTTTTTGTAATATTTTATTTTAATAGTTAATTTTTAAATTTTAATTTTAAATTTATGATCTTTTACAAATATTATAAATTCATTTATTTTCATCAATGATAAAATTTTTTACGTCAACATCGCCTCAACATGTGTAATCCATATGCTCACATAAAAAAAGTGATTGGCTTGATTTTTGGATTAAAATTTATATTAAGTGGAATATATATATTTTTCAATTGATGATTGGCAAAATGTATAAATTTAAAGCATTTTTAAACGTTCATAAATTTAAAATTTGAGTTTTAAATATCCTAAATAAAATTGAAATATTACAAAAAAATGATGAATTCATTTGATTATTTTTAAATATTAACAAAATAGAGGCGAATTTAGAGGACAAGTATGAGTCATAGCTCCTAAAAAATGTAATAATCTTAAAATTACTATTTTAACCATGTTATTTTCATTTTTGTCCCTTTTTTAATTTAATTTATTATTAATTTAATACTTAATTCTCTAATATTATGATGCTGGCTTCGTTCTTGAAGGGGAGAGTTATTGTTCAGACCAAATACAAAGTGAGCTTTTGAATTAGATCTCAACTGTCTCTTTGATGTCTAGTTATTATCTCCCATGTGGTGCTAAATTTTAAGCAGAGCGGCAGTTTTTCGAAATTCTAGAAGGGATGTGTTGATTTTGATATTACAGTAACATATGTGCTAGAATGGTTTGGATTTAAAAATAAAAAAGATATCTCTTATTTCAATTATTTAAAGATATTGTTTGTAAATCGTGCAACATTTAAAAATTAAAATCTCACATTTGGATTGTTTAAATTGATTTTTTATCGAATTGTTTAGAATTTATTTCACAATAAAGTTGAATACTTTTTTTTTTTTTAAATTTTGAACATTGTTTTATTTGTACATATTCATTTGAAGTTTTATATAATGACGACCGGTTAAAAAGTTCTTTTAGAATTTAATGTATGAGATGCATAAAACAATTGATAGTGTTTTGATAAAAAAATTTAAAATTTGATATACAATTACTATAAATTTTTAATTATATATATGGATTAGTATAATGATATATATTTTTTATGATATATTTTAAAAATAAAAAATTTAATTAAAAAAAATACGTATATCACCCTGTTAATTTTATTTGTGTAATTAAAAAATTATATTGACAATAGTTGTTAATTTTGTTTCCAAATTTATCGTACTAACTAATATATTTCAGTTATATTAAAATATGATATATTTAAAGATAAATTTTTATTTCGAATTTAATATTAAATAATATTGATTGTTTTCGTTGGTTTCGGTGAATTTCGATGAATTGATTTATTTCAGTTAGTATGTAAATGTGAAATATATTTTATAATTTTTAATTTATCTTTTATTATTTGACTATTTTTAATCTAATAAAAATAAAATTAATTGATTAAATAATCCTTAAAAATTGACTTTCTTTATTATTTTTTTATTTTAACTTGTTTTTTTTATACTTTATTTTTTCAAACCAAAATTTATAAGTATTTCCATCTCTTAAAAAAAAAAAACAATTGTGCTCTTTTTTTAAAGTTTTAAAATCATGAAACTAAGGTTTTTTTTTTTTTCATTTCTTTATTTTTATCTTAATATTTACATAAAAAATATTTATTTAAATATCATATGATTAGATTAAGTGTTTAAAAATATCCTAAAAAATTTATGATAATATTTTTTATACTTTTAAATTTATTTATTTGATATTTAAAGATATTGCATATTTATTTTGTAAATTATTAGTAGGATTATAATGTATATGTTCATGTATATTTATAAATATATTTATACTAAATAAAAAAATTGAAATAATATACTAAAATAACCGATACCGATATATATTACATTAAAAAAAAATTGAATGTGGTCTAATATGGTATTGAAACTTTGATATTAATACTATATCAAATACTAACTAAAATATTTTTTACTTTAAATAGTTAGAATTTATTTGTATCCATTAAAAAATAAAGCAAAATTAATAAATAAATCCCTGAACTTTGTTACTTTATTTGAAGAAGCTTTTATATTTTATTTCATCTAAATAAATCATTCAATTTTAATTTGAACCTAAATAAATTATTAATTTTTAATATATATTTATAAATAAACCTTTAATTTTTAATTCTTAGCTAAATAGGCTCTTAACATAAACTAATTTTTCGTTTGAATTAAAAGTTTAATTAGATATAAATTAAACAATAAGAGCTTATTTTGGTAAAATAAAATTATATGAACTTATTTAAAAAACACAAAATAATTCAAGAATTTTATTAATATGTTGACCAAAAACAATTTACTTTTTAAATAGAATTTATTTAATAAAATTTTAAAAATTATTTTTTTATCAAAATTGATTTATATTTTATAATTTTTTATAAAATAACTTTTAATTATTTTATAAATTGTTGATTCAACAAGTACTAATATTTTATTTTTTTCAAGTTTATTTTGAATATTTTGTATTATATGATTTATTTTTTATTTAATATCAACACAATAATTTAAAAATATTAATGATTTATAATATTATATAAAATATTGTAATTTAAGATCACTGATGAATTGATCACTTTGATTATCGTATGACTATAATAATAAAATCACTATAGTAATCTTAAAAATAATATCAATTATTACTTTAAGAGTTTTAAATTACAATAGATAAAAAAAATATAAATTTAATTTGAAAAAATTAACAAAAGTTATATTATAAAATCAAAAAAAAATATTATTTTAAAAAATTAATAATATATTAATAGGATTGTAGTAGCAATTTACTAATTTTGAAAGAAAATTAAAAAAAAACCCCTTATGTCTACTTTTTTTTGTTCATTTAAAAAATCAACACTTGCTGTTTATTTCATATTTTTATCTTTTTTCTGAAGATAACTATATAACATTTTTTATTTTATGTTACTGTTTATCCTAATTATTCATTTTTTTACATATTTTAGCCTAGTGTATTTGCTTAGGGCTCATAAATATATATAATGCTGTGATTTGACCTTTTAACGATTAGTTTATGTAAAGAGTTTTGCAATTGGTAGCTTCTTTGACTAAACAAATCTAACTTTCCATTATGGATAACCCGTGCCCATTGCCTGTAAAGGAAGAATCTCCTTCTATATTTTCACCTAATCTTATTTTAATTTGGGACAGCAATTATCCCTATAATAATTCTATATAGCTTTATTTTTGGTTTTCCTTTTTTTATTAATTATTTTCCATTTCAGAATCAAACAAAAGATAAAAGTTGTCACCGTGCCGGACGGACAGCCGGCCTTCGACACTCCCACAACTTCCATATTTTCTTCAAAACAAATTTAACTCGGGTCCCTCAAAATATAATGAGTAATTACACCCGGAAAAGAAAATTAATTAATTTTCCAAATATATTAACATATATTTGGTAGGACCGAAAAAAAAATGAAAAAAATGAAAAAAGAAACTATATTTTTTTCTTTCCATTCTTCTGTTTGATAAGGGAAAAATAAGAAAAAAAAATAAAAATAAATGAATTTGTATCTTTTCCTTTTTTTTTTCTTTCTTTTTAAATCTAAATCTTTCGAAATTGAAAATAAAACATTCTTTAGACTTAAATTAAACATTTTCTTTACAGTTTCACTTTTAGGTTGATTTTTTTTCAAAAAAATTGACTTTTAAGAAATAAATTTTATATTATTCTATAGTTATTTGACAAAATTATTTAATAAATTAAAAATAAATTATTGATTAATAAAAAATAAAAAAATGAATTTTTATATCTTTTTCTCTTTAAATCTGAATCATATTTGTTTGACAAAAAATTACTTAATTAATTAAAAATGATTTATTGATCAATAAAAAAAAACAATGAATTTATATATATTCTTTTTCTTTAAATCTAAATAATTCCAAATTAAAAAGAAAACATTCTTTCTACTTAAATTAAATATTTTATTCACAATTTCATTTTTAATTTTTTCCTATACTATTCATATTTAATGCAAAACATATAGAAGGAAAAACAACTTTCTATCCTTTTTAAAAAATTTTTTTCTTTGCTCACTTTTTTTCACTTCCTTTATTTTCCTTCTTCAAAAATTTCAGAATATTTCATACTTTTATTATTTTATAAAAAAACAATTGCCATTGTTTAAAATCATGAAACTAGTTTTTCAAGTAATATATAAAAAAATTCCATTGCCTTTTTTTTAACTAAAAAAAATTTCATTGTTTTGGTCAAAGCTAAACTCACTGGAGAGTTACACTTTGAATCCAAGTGAAGTGAGTACCTTAAAAACTCCTCACCCAAACAAACAAAAACAAAGCTTTCAGATACTTTCCATAAACCCCAATTTGGTTTTGAAAAAATCCCAGCTGGCACTTATGTAATTTAATCTCCCAGCAAGGGCATTTGTTTTCTCCTCCGTCCAAACAAACAAAACAATGAAAAACAATTGAACTCCTCCAAACGCTTTTTCAAAAAATAAAAAAAAAAACCAAACTGAAAAACCAACCTCAGCTTTTTCGTTCTCCCCTGCCCTGCCTGCCCCTTCACTCCCTCAATCTATATATGTATATATAAATATATGTACCTTTACTAATTCACATACTTTTCTTTCTTTTTTTTTTTAATAAAAATAATAAAAGAAGAAGATTCTGGTAAATATGGATTCGCCGAAGTCGGCTGGTGATTCATCGACGGCACGGATCGTGGTTCGTTCCTCCATGATGGACTCGATAAGAGCTTGCGGTTTGTCGGGTTTAGCCGGTGTTAGGATCGATAAGGAAGAGCTTAGACGAAGGCTTTTGATGCCTCAGTATCTACGCCTTGCGATGCAAGATTCCATTAGGAAAAAGGACGTCGATGGCGGTGACCAGCATTTCCTTTCACGTGGCTCCGACGATGTTCCGTATCCTGAATCCCCTATGGTCGTTTTTATTAACCCCCGTAGCGGCGGTCGCCATGGCCTCGTCCTTAAAGAGCGTCTCCAGCAATTAATCAGCGAAGAACAGGTTTCACTTATTTCTTTTTCTTTTATTTTTATGGTTTCGAAAGACTTATTTGCATTTATATTTTCTTAAGAATTTTAATATCGGAAATATAGGTATTTGACCTCCAAGATGTGAAACCGCATGAATTTGTACGGTATGGACTGGCTTGCCTTGAGAAGTGGGCTAACAATGGAGATTTTTGTGCCAAAGAGATACGGGAGAACATTAGAGTTGTGGTATGTTTCTACCAACTTTTTACAACTTGTAAACTTCCCTGTGCTGTTTTTTCCCCTTTTCTTTTAGAATGTTCCAATTCGGATTTGGATGTTACCGCTTTAATTTAGTTACAGTTGGGTTCTTATGTTTGTTACTTGTCTTTTTTTTTTGGGTTCAAATCTCACCACTTGCTACTATATTTACTTTGAAAAAGTAAAAAAAAAAGAATCTTTTAGATTTAAAAGTAAATAATTTTTTAAAGAGTTAAAAATTAAAAATATAACTTTTTTCTGTGGAATAAAGTACATGATTTTACTTTTATACATAATGGCTGTGTTAAATTGTTTTGTGATGTTAATCAACTATGATTTTGTTTTTCCTTTTTTAAGCAACTTTCTAGATGGTAAAAAAACATAGCAAAAGTAACTAACAAATCGAACATTCCAAGCTGATTTTGTAAGGCTCTGTATAAATGAGCAGGTTGCTGGAGGTGATGGTACTGTTGGTTGGGTACTTGGATGTCTTGGAGAACTTCATCAGAAGGGTCGGGAGCCGGTTCCTCCTGTAGCTATCATTCCACTTGGTACAGGCAATGACTTGTCTAGAAGTTTTGGTTGGGTATGATATTCCTTTACATTTTAAATTTTGATGTTGTCTGCTATTTGCTTCTCTTTCTTTCTTGATTCATGCACTGAATGGTCACTGCAGGGAGGTTCATTTCCTTTTTCCTGGAAATCGGCTATTAAAAGAACTCTGCAAAGAGCTACTTCCGGTCCAATTTGCCGTCTAGATAGGTGAGAATACATTTATTGCATAATGATTAGTACTATGTTTTGTGTCTGTAGCACACTGCTGTTTGTTTTATAAGTTTGATGATCCACTATTGAGGACTCGCTGCATGTTTGAGTTTCCTACGATTGAAAATGTTTTTTCATAACTACTTTGCAGTTATATCACTAATTGTTTCTTTGATGATGCAGTTGGCTTGTTGTGTTGCAAATGCCTGGCGGTGAAGTTGTTGATCCTCCCCATTCTTTGAAGGCTACAGAAGAGTGTTGTCTTGATCAGGTAGTGAATCTCTCTGCTTCAGATCCTCTGTTTTATTCAAACATCTTCTATTGCGTGACAATTTTTGGATGCATGAACATTGGCTTAATCTGAGTCCTTTGAAGGTCAATAAAGTTTTTTCTGTTTTAGTTCATGAAGTTTGTCATTAGGTTACCTAATTCGGTATTATTGGAATTTACCAAATATATAAAAATGTCTATGTGTCTATCTTGATAATATAATTATAGAGACGAGTTTTTGAAAAGCAAGAGTACTTTTTAGGTCATAGATCAAAATATGCTATAATGATTTAATCCAATAAAGCACATTATCTAATGAACTGTGGCATTGTATATCTAAAGCTGCTTCTTTCTGTCTAAAGTATTCAGCCTGGTCTACCATCTGATAACTTAGGCATGACACATTAGTGTTTTCTTTTTCTTTAAATAATTTTTGTCTGATTGTCATTTAGTCATCTTATGATGTGGAATTTCAAATTCAAATGGGAAAATCTTGTCCGCGATTGCAGACTTTGGAGATTGTGGGGGATGTTCCTGACAAAGTGAACTGCTATGAAGGAGTATTCTATAATTACTTTAGCATAGGTATAGTATACCAGTTAAACTTCTAAATCTTTGTAATTTTAATTTTATGCATGGGGAGATTTGCTTGGTGGGGAGCTGTATTACATCTTATAAGCTTGATAATCATAATTTTGGCATGTAAGCTGTTATGGAGGCTATCTGCTACTTTATTTCAAGGGAAACAGAATAGAGTAGTAGCATTCTAAACCAAATCCCTGATAGAGTCCAAGGATGTGCAAACTTTTATAATGATTCTTTTTGCTTTATTTTAATAATTTTAACTTTTAAATCATCCAAATCTTATCATCCTCTACTCTTGCAATTTCACAAAAAATCCAGAAAAGGGGGAGGAAGGCACACTCATATGACTCTGAGGGCTCAAGACAACTCATTAAAGGCTTACAGTGCCCCTATTCGCTAATTTGGTTAATAATTTGCAAGACCATAAAAACTTTTGTGAAAGGAAAAGCAATTTAAAAATTGGGAGTCATGAAATGTTTAGAAATCATATATGAAAGTTTTTGGTTACAATGACAACACTTATTCTTGCTTATGGTGTTTTTCCGTTTATTGTTGTTATTATTAACATTTTTGGTCCTTAAGAATCTTTTTATGTTCATTTACATTCAGGAATGGATGCACAAGTTGCGTATGGATTCCACCATTTACGTAATGAGAAACCTTACCTTGCGCAAGGTCCTATTTCAAATAAGGTATTTGGATTTCTTTTATTATTTGACTGCAAGTTCAAGAATGTTTTGTTGTCAATCTCTGGTATTATCCTGTCTTGTCAAATGTAGATGTTTTAGTTTGAAGTTGCTTAATGGTAATACTGCCATCTGTCAACCATATATGGATCAACTACAGATGATATTAGTGACTATGCGTGGCATAGTCAAAAGGAGGGACAGGAAGTGATTGTCTCACCTATATAAATTGAAGTTTTTTCTCAATCTATTCTTTTTATGACTAAATATTTTGCACTTTGGTCTTGATACCTATGTTTTACAAATTTGCTGCTCCATAATTCTTTGACAAGGAATGGGGAGGATGCATGAAAGGCTATATGTAAAATGAATTACAATATAAAACTAGTGTGGAATTCTTGATTTTTCCCCAATCTATTCTTTTTGTGGCCAAACATATAGCAGTTCAGTCTCAGTACCTATATTTTAAAGATTTGCTGCTCCACAATTCTTTGACAAGGAATGAGGAGGATGCATGAAAGGCTAGAAGTAAAAATGAAGCTACAACATAATGCTAGTGGGAAAGTCTTGTAGTTTTTCTATATAGGAGCATTCAGTGATATACGCCTAGGTGCTGTGCCTTAGTGCTAGACAATGAAAGTACCTTGAACCCTTTTGGACAAGGTGCATTTAATCGGGTGTACGCCTGGTGCATCTAGTCATGCTTTTCTGTAAGACAGTGGGTGCAAGAAAAGGCTCTCTCTTGCATTTCTTTTTCTTTAGGATTTTTTTATTAACTTTACCTTTAATAGTAAAAAAGTGACAATATCAAACTCTTTCAACAACAAACTTGGGTCCATAAGGAAATGGTGCATATTGGCCAAAAAAAAGAAAAAGGAAAAATTGCATGTTTGTAGGATAAAAGTGGACTGCTCTTTAGATTTTATTAGCAGAATTATATATCTTAAGCTTATTTTATATATACATACGCATATACATATTGTGCCTTCACTGAGGCGAGCACTTTTTTTCCACCTTGCATCTCAGGCAATATAAGGGTTCTACCGCCTTGAGTGAGCCTTGCGCCCTTGACAACACTGGGAGCATTTCATGTTGTCCCAGCCTTAACCTTGTTCTTTGCTAGCCAATAGAAGAGTTATGAATTTCTTGTGTAGAACTGTAGATGTATGCAATATTTGTGCATATGCTTGGATGTTTAAATTTATTTTTTCTCTTCTGATTTATCTGATAAACAACTTAAATGTAAATTTAGTTTATGCAGGGTCTTTTCTTCATTCTCCTGTTATTTCCTCTAGGATTTGCACAAAATATAATACTAATCTCACTAAAGTTAACTTAAGTTCAATTGAAGTGTGCAGCTTGGCATTCAAAATTCACATTATTAGTTTCTTTGCCTCAGTCAATGATTTGCTTTGGTAAAACTAATATTAGATTGTAATTGGTCCATCTTTTGTGACAGATTATCTACTCCAGTTACAGTTGCACTCAGGGTTGGTTTCTCACACCTTGCATAAGTGATCCAGGTTTAAGGTTAGATATTATGATAGTTTTTTAGCTTGCATCTCATCCTATAATGGACATATTCCAGTTTCTAAAAAACAACAATATGTATATTTCTATGCATGTTGGTGTGTGTGTGTGTGTGTGTGTTTGTATGTGTGTATGTATGTACAACAAGCATCTAGTTAAGTTTTGATTGTTCCTTGGACAGTGTAGCCAAGGCTTTGGCCTTGGTGCTGAGGTAAGGCACAACACATAAAGTGCCTCACATGTAACAATCACTTAGCTAAGGTTGATTCTTCCTTAGACAGTGTAGCCAAGGCATTGACCTTGGGCTGAGGGCAAGGCCAAAAAGTGCTTTTACCAAGCATAATTCTTTGATGCCTAGGTGCATTATTTTGAAAGGTGAGGCTTGACATGCCTCCATTAAGTTCTCTAAAATTTTTTTAAAACTCTACTTTGAATTGATGATATATGTATGTTTATACAAAAATGAAAAGGGTCCTAGTTTCCCTTTATATGTGTATTATATCAGCACCTTGCTTTGCTCAGTCAAATGTCTTTTTTGCCCTTGTGCCTCTGGCAATACAAAAATCCTAGTACCTTGAGGGTGTCTTCTGCCTTTTACCACATTGTTTTTGTTTCTTAATGTTTCTCAAATAATAAAACATCATCACTATTATAATGCATGTTGTTTACAAATGCTTGTTCAGTTAAACCAACAAGTTTCCTTTTGATACATCTTTTATTTAGCTGAGAAGAAATAATCCATGAATCGTATGGAGAAAGTGTCTTTCTTGTGAATGGTGTTTTGAACCATTCTTTTTGAGGTGAACATATTCAAAAAATGTTTCTAAGTGCAGGGGACTCAAGAACATTTTAAGGATACATATTAAAAGGGTCAATTGCTCGGAATGGGAGCAGGTTCCAGTCCCCAAAAGGTACATTTCTAAGTATTTAATTTTACCTTGTGATACATTAGTATCTTAATTGTTCTAGTTATCAACTGTTAGCCTTCATGATTTTTATGTAACCCTATTTTGTGCATTTGATATCTTTATAACCATAATTTGTCTTTTACTGAACCTTCTGCATAACTAGCTATATTGCTAAGGTTACTATGACACTAGATGCATAGATGGGTAGAACATTTCTGCCCCTGTTATGGCTTATGATTTAATCATCCCCTAATATTATGCATTTTATTTTAGTGTGAGGGCAATTGTTGCATTAAATCTTCATAGTTATGGAAGTGGGCGAAATCCGTGGGGTAATCTAAAACCAGAGTATTTGGAAAAGGTATGGTACATTTCTTCAGGTTACATAGTATTATTCTGGGTACGGTGTTCTACAATCTCTCTCTCTCTTTGAGGTATACTTTGACTGTTTGCTTATGTTTGATGGTTGGATTTGGATCTCAAAAACTGAGCAATATAATTTGTTCTGGCTCCATAATGGAAACAAAAAGGTGTTCTGCATACTTTATTTGCAATTCAAAACAACTTCAGCTTGGTTCCTTTCCAAGATTGGAGCTTTGTACTTACTTGAGAATTCGAGATTGGAGTTTTAGTGAACCAGATGGATGCCATGTAGTTTTCACTTACTTAGATAGTTGAAGTTGCAGATATCACCCAGTATGCCTAACATGATCCAGGTACCAGGAATGAATTCTATTAGGGGTCAAACTCTATGAAAACTGGGCAGTTTGTGTTTATTTAATCAATAGTTCTTGGAAATATTATCTTGGTCCTGATAATTTTTAATCAGCTTTATATTACTGAAAATGCATGATTTGAGATGGTCACCATATATTGTTTTTGACTCTTAAGCTTCTTTTGTTGATAAATATTGCTATCTTGTAGTGTCTATTCTAATATTTATATGAACATAAATAAATAGAGGTGAATAGCACAACAAAACTGTGCATCCTTAATAGGTGTTATTACTGGACTCTTAAATTTCTTTCAGCGTATCAATGTTTATTTAAGTTAAAACTAAATCATGAGGAATTTCTTGCTTTGTGAAATATAAATTTATATAAAATAGTGAGAAGGGGTGAATACTGAACAGCCAATTGTTATTGCAAAATGAGAACAAAGAAATGACAGAAGAGAGTATTTCTTAATGCAGCTTTCATAATGTTCCATTCCAATTATTATATTGAAGTAACATAAAGTTAATAATAAGAATTCCAAGGGGAAGTAAAATGAAATGAGCATTTAACGTTTCATTATATGTAATAGCATAAATTTAGCCTGATAAAGATGGTACATGGGTAGAAGAAACCTATCTTATTACAATCAAATGTAATTATGGGAAAATCAAGAAGTTGAACTGTTATCAGTTTAAAATGACAGGTCATCAATAGATATTTCTCTAATATAAATCATAGTTCACCAAAGCATTTGGAAAGATGCTACTGCCAAGGTTTTCAACAAATACTGTGCATCTTTCTTTGACTATGTAAACTTAATTGCTTTCAAATTTGCGGCCTATGCTTTTGGTGTAAGATCAATGTCTTCACCATGATTCCTAGGCTGGTGGAGAGTTGGAAGTTACTCGGTCTTTTTGTTTTAATATTAAGCTTATTGAGAGGCTTGATTAAATTCCAAATCTAAATTGATTGTCTTCAATTTTAATTGTTTATTTTTTCAGAAAGGCTTTGTTGAGGCCCATGCTGATGATGGTCTTCTAGAAATTTTTGGCTTAAAGCAAGGATGGCACACATCATTTGTAATGGTTGAGCTCATATCTGCAAAACACATTGCGCAGGTACTCTAACTTATGTATTTTTCATCAAAACAAGTCAAAGGTGGTTAAACATAAGATTGTAGAAGTGCAAGTTTAGACTTGATTGAAAGTATGTCCTTGGTAGGTAGGCACAAACAGAAGGAAATTATGTCCTGAGTCTTTGGGAAGTTGCTACCATTGGTGAGAAAGATTGGTAATTACTAAAAGTTGTTTGGCAAGATGCTTGATAATTAGTAGAAGTTATTCTTAAAACCTCAATAGCGTTTACAGATAATGTTGTGTTCCTCTACTGTACCTTGTTTCTTGTAATGGTAGTTCTTAGTGTCTTGCATGCATAAGATTGGCTCTGAAGTGCCTGGGAAAGAAGGAACTAAAAAAAATCTGTATTCTCTGGGCTTGGTCTTTTGAAAATATGGTATGTTGATGAGTTTTACAATCTTTTTCAGGCTTCATCGATTAGACTGGAGATAAGAGGTGGAGAGTGGAAAGATGCATTTATGCAGATGGATGGGGAACCATGGAAACAGCCCATGAGCAAGGATTATTCTACATTTGTGGAAATTAAGAGGGTGCCTTTTCAGTCACTAATGGTTAGTGGAGAATGACATTGGCGAATCCTTATGCATGCCGTCAATGTAAAGCGTGGTTGTCTCCAAAGGGCTTGTAAATTACATTTGTTTTCCCCGGTGACTAGGAACTTGGACAATGAGAAGAGAAACATACCTAGGAATAGGGATCTTTGTATCAAATTCATTTGCAGTCAATTCCATACATATATATATATATATATATATATATATATATTCCAGTGGTGCATTCTTTGAGATTTCTATTATGCTTAACCAGGTTTTACTTGCACTTGGAGGAGCTTTTATTACGTTGGTTAATGATTACCTGATCATGACTCCAAACTAAAGTGGTAGTGTTGTATCAAAACACAATATAAATATATAAATTATTAGTTATACAAGCATATGAATTGTAAGATTTATTACTATTATTAATAGATGGTTATAACCTTGGAGTACGTGGATAAAACAGGGGCTTTCTTTTTCATTTTAAAGTTATTCTCAATACTGATGAAACTGAATTATTGACACTAATATCAAAGGGACCTACATAAGATTGGTGAGCTAAAGCTCACGGTGTGTTGGATACATTCACAGATGAATTGCTACCATTCCCTGAAGAAAGGATTTCCATCATTTCTAACAACCATCTCAACACCTTCAGATGTCATCGAGCTGTTCTGACTACTGTGAAAATCATATGGAGCTTCAACACCTTGGGGATTGACTAGATGATGTGCTCTAGATTCATTCCTCTCAAAAGGATTTGAAGCTACAACCTTTCGATCAAAAAGCCTTGCCAGTTCAGTAAGTTTCGACCATGTTGATCTTTTGGCATGAAAGGTGCCCAACTCAGGCCAGTGCGAGTATAGGAACTTGGACATGTATATGAGGAGTGCGGACAGTGAAGCAATTACTGTAATAATGAAGAGGCCTCCAAAGCTGTAGACACTGAGACTATCAGAAGCAATTCGTTGACTTTGACATTCTTGACAGGCCACATTTTGCTTAAAATATTTGTTCTCAAGAGCTTCCATTGCTGTTTTATTTTCAGTGACGTTCAAGATTGCCCTGGACATGTATGGAACTAGCGGTGATCCTCGTGGGAAGGCCTGAGGCAAAAGAAAAAAAGATATTCTCGGTTAAACAAACAACCGGCATGAAGCAATCTCGGATCACTGTTTCTTAGACAAATAATATATGGATTATGTACTGTAAACTTTAAGAACAATATTCATGCTTACAGTTTTTCTTCTACTGAATTATATATAGCAAGTTGTAATATACCTTGCATAATTCTTTACAGTCCTATGGTTTTTTTTTTTTTCAAAAGTAAATGAAGGCAAGATGGAGAAAGACTAACAAAGCCAAGCCCATCAGTTTTGAAGTTTGGCCCAGCTGTCATATATTTGTCACAGAATTTGGCAAGAAAAAGCTCTATGCAGTGTTGTGCACCAAAGATTGCATCAACACCACCCCTTTTGCTTCCCTTTGACAATGCTTCATCAAACTCCTCTGGAGTGCTATACGGCTTCAGCCTGGACTCGTCGAACTGCAACTTGTTCACCAAAAGGTCTTTCACAAAGGAACCTGCTTCATATCCTACATAATCACCATTTTTTTTGAGCTCTTTAATGTCTACTACTGCTGGCTGCAACCGCTGCACTGCTAACATTGAGGCTAAACTTGCGGTGTAACTTTGAGTGAGGATAAGCACCACAAAGATCCATATAATCAGCACAAATCTTGATAAGTTGTTCATAACCTTTTCCCCTGATATGGTACCAGGAAAAGTGCTTTTAGTTCAAGTATGTAATGAGTAATTAATGTGTTTGACGTGGTTAAATATAGTTTTGCATAAGCAAATTAAGGTAAAAAATGATACTGTATGAATAGGTAGAAGAGAATTACTGTGAGCAAACACAAGGATTGAGAAGGAGAACCAAAAAATTGTGCCTAGTTGTTGCTCTGGGGGACCTCTGAACTCCGTGTTTATACGGTGCTCCAGAATCCAGACTACTAGACCTGTAAAGGTGAAGGTTGCTCCATTTGTTAGCCAAAGATCCCAACTTAGTGGCTTCAAGAATATCCAAATATTCTCCTCTCATCATCTTTGATTTTCACTACCATTGACACATGTGATTGCAGGTAAGGTAATGTAAAATCAACATTCACCGACCGATCTGCAAGAATTGTTATATCTCCTACGGCAGGATCAAATTTCTGCACGTCCACAAATGGATAAAATGTGAGGAGTGAGAAATATATAGAGTTGTAATATAAAATGAAAATCCTAAGTATATATTGTTCTCTCCACTCTATGGTCTGTTAGCTTAAGTTGTGCACATTGTTTTCAGCCTTATCTATCATCTAAAATCAGCTGTTTGATTATCTGCATATTAACCTGGAGAGATTCAATGAATAGAAAGTTTAAACTCACCTGAACTTTGATCTGATGAAGTAAGTCGTCGTATGTCGCTGAACCATTAATTATGAAGGGAATTGGTTTATGTTTAACTGCGAAGGGCAATGCCTCCAATGCAGCCAGGAAAACATCATAGGAGAACCCTGAAACGATCGGCTCATTGGTATAAGGATGCAACTCCACTTTTAAATATTCATCGAAGCCCAATTTCACTGGCACTCCAGTCATCAACTTCTTACCCTCTACTGGTATAGCCCAACCCTTCGGTATAGTTTTGGAGTCTCCAGGCCAGATAGGTGGTTTGAGTTCATCCAGGGAAGTTGAATATTCTACTACATCACCAGAATAGCCTAGTTTGCCAGATAATCCTTTCTCAGGAGTCCAGTAACCAATGACTATTCCTTCTTTGCCTACCACATTGATAATTTCAAAAGCTGAAGACTGCAACTCTCCTTTAACCAAATGGAAATTTCCGCTGAGGCCTTTAAATCTGACATTCAACATGTCGTTCTGAAGCCTTGGGCCTATTTCTGACACTCTTATACCTGAAACCTGACTCTTATTTCTGCTAGAATTTCGCTTGAAAGCATTGGGGCTTTCCTTTCCAACCATTTCAACAGCCATAGCTAATGCCCAAACAGTATCATATGCCCATAAACCAAAAATGTTTAATTCAGTAGCATTAGAGTCAAATTCACTTTTCCATTTCTTCTTAAAATTTTCAAGCCTTTTCAATTTCGGTATGTATGGCCTGATACCCAGTACACCTTTCATTGAATCAGTGACCTCTGATCCCATAGAATCCAACAAACTTGCTAGTCCATAAGTGATGATCCATGCATATCCTTCACTCATCATACCGGCTTGTTTTGCAAGTAAAAAGAGTCTAGACCCTAAGGAATGAGTTATATGCACCAAGAATACTCTGGTTTGCTGCGCCATTAACTTATTGAGCTTTTCCAAAATCCTGAATCCACTAGAAGTTCGGGAGATGGAACACCTATAAGTTATTCGAATGTCAAATTGTTGAAATGCATCGGATAAGTAGGGAAGTAAGCCGCCGCCATATTCGGTGTCTTCATATACGAGAACTACTTGGTGCCATCCATAGGCTTTAACAATGGATGTGATGGCTTGAACCTGAGAGTTGTCATTGTGGGCTGTCCGGATAAAGAAAGGGTTTTGGGTTGTAGAGAGAGAGGGACTTCCAGCTGAAAAGGATATAACGGGAACTTGAGCTTTTCCTCCAACACCGATCACAAACTTGGCTTGCATTGATTTTTGAGGCCCCATAATAGCGTTTACTTCATCATTGTTAATCAAGTCTAGAGCTGCAATTTATGAATATTTTGTGAAATGAATTGAGAACTAAAGTCAATCAACTTATATACAAATAGTAAAATGCATGAATAAACAATTTGCTAAGAAAGAGTTTCCATAATAATAATAGTAATAATTTATTCTTGTGCATATATATATATATATATATATAAACACATACATTAATTTATATAAAAATATAAATATACATACACTCTTAATTAGAGGTGTTCATGAATCAAATTGGATTGAGTTTGAGTCAGATTCATATTTAATATTTAATAATTATATGCTTGCCCAAATCAAATTCAATCCAAAATTTCAGACCTTAAAATTTTCTCAAACTTGATCCAAATTAAAAAAATAAATCCTAAATTCATTCATTAAATTTAATTTAAATAATAAAAAATTAAAAAATTGTTAATTAAATTCAATAAAATTATATTCAATTCACATATATATAAATTAAAAAAAATTATATATATAAAAATTAAAAATAAAAATTGTATAAAAGTAAAAATTAAGTTTAAAAAAATATATATAATTTTTTAAAATTTTTTTATATATATGTGAATTAATTTATATATAATTCATATATATATATAATAAAAATTATATATACATATGAATTTGAATTGGGTTTGGGTTTGAGTTTGAAATATTTGTCTAAAGCCTTACTTGAAATTTAAACAAACCTTAAAGTTATATCCGAGTTCGTTTAATGAATTTTAATTTTTTTTTCAAACCTTTTCAAAATTTAGATAAACCTTCATGTTTGAAGGGATAATTCGACCTTTAAATAAGTCTACTCTTAATTGATCTAAAAACTAAATTAATTATTACTTACTTGCAAGAGCAGCACCAACAACATCAACCGAGTTCCTGGTGTGGAGAAACAATCTAGAACTGTAGTTGGAATGTGTAGCATAGAAATCTGAGATTGCCATGGAGATGCATGCATTTGCTACAGAACCAATTGGTGACTCCAACACTAGAACCACTCCAACATGTATCAACATCTTCTTTTCTGAAATTTTATTCCCTATATGCCCACCATTTGATGACTTAACTCCCAGCCAAAACCAATGAAAGAAGCACCAAAGACGTAGGGAAAGATGCATCAGGTTCTCCATGGTATAAGAGGTTTTGCCCCTATGAACAAATTGCTATATAGAGAGAGAGAGATTGTTGAGCATTAATGGAGAATGTTGACTCCAATTAAGAAATCTGACAAGTTCAAAATGTAAGTTACTAGGAAACAAAAAAAGAACTTTTCAGTCGCTAAGAGTATGTTAGACTCCAGGAAATCTTGAAAAGTTCAAAATGTAAGTTACTAGGAATTTCACAAATAAAACCAAAAAAGAACTTTTCAGTCACTAAGGGTAATAGTTGGTCTAATATCATTTTCAGGATAAAAAAGGGGGTCCTTCGGGGAAGAAACAAGCATATAACAACATGAAATAAAAAGATCTCAAGGTACATAAGGATAATAGTTGGTGTAATTTCTTCAAATGAAATGGTTTATTTCAAATTTGTCGAGAATTTTCTCCCATGGTCTTGATAAAAAATTAAATCTTTAATTTTAATGATTAAATTTAATTTTTAACAATCTCAAATACTAAAAGAGAAAAAAGAAAAAATTTCTGAACAGAATAATTAATAGTGGAGTTATAAATTCTATTACTCATTAGAAAGCTCTTAGAAGAGGTTTATGTTGTTGTAAATAAGCATATATCTGATATAATGCATGAAGATTTGTCTTTGTCAATTGTATCATATCATTATTATTCTATAAATTATAGAAGAATTATTTTGATACACAGTTAATATCATAGATGTGTTCCATAAGCTTTTTAATTTTTTTCATTTCTCAGTTTCAATGCACCAATATTATTCTAATTAAACAAATAATGTAAAGCCAAGTAGTTTGCTTAATTTTGGTGCCTCATTATCTCTATCTACACTTTTTCTCTCTTTACCACCAAATGTTAAAATTTCTTTCACATTTTGTTAATTTTCTCAATCCTAACATCACAATACCTGCAATTTACAACTTTTTATATGCAATTTTTCCCTTCTTTCAAGCAATTATTGTTGACAGGAACAAACACCATTGAAGAATCCACTTTTTGTTTGTCAAGAATAAACCCATTAAAAGAAAAAGAAAAAAAAACATTGAAAGTCCTTGTAGAACTCCTTCGTAAACCCATTGAAGAGGGAAAAAAAAAACTATTGAAGACTCTAATATAGAATCCTTAGGGCCCATCTGAAAAACCCACTGAGAATAAACCCACTGAAGAACCTACTGTATGAAATTGAGAATTTTTTTTTTTTTTTTGCTTTTGCTTTTAAGTTCTAATTACCTCGAATATAAAAAGAAAGGGAATCAAGCTGTTAAAAAAGTAAATTGATGATAATTATAAGTTATAAGTGAAATAGATTCCTAGAGTTGTATTCTAGAAAGTTTGGAATTCGTTAATTAACCAAAAAAAATTACAATTTTTAAAATTTCTTTTTATTTATTATTATTTTAATGAAATAAAAGATATTTACGACATTTTATTTTTACCGTTAACAGAATATTAACAGAGAAAAACACAAGTTGTTTAAGTATTCAAATTTAATCATCATAAGACAAATTTAGTTCAGCCCAAACCACAAAATATATTTATATAGTTTACCTTTTAATAAGTGGAAACAGATTAATCAATAATCTCTTTAAATAGGTAGTAGGCCGTGTATAAAAAGTTTGAATACATTTTATCGCCTTCAAGTCTTTGGTTTAGTGGTTAAAGACGCATGAAGGATATCAAAGATTTGGTTTCGAATCAAATTTCCTTCATCTCCTATGCTAGAGCGTTACCTTCCTGATATAACAAAAAAAAAAAAAGAATACATTTCATAATTTCTAATATTCATTTAAAATAATTATTTTAAATAAAATAGTCAATAATTATTTTTTCTGGCAAAAAAAAAAAATCCAATTTTGTCTACATTAATAATGATCCCTTCTAAGGGATGCATCAATTTATCTTTTACATATTTAAACCTTTCTTATCTTTTAGTGGTGAATTTTACAAGTTTTATCTATCAAATTCCATTTTAATTTCACTCTTTAATTTGTTAGGTGCCTTGTTTCAAAGGGGCACCCATATCTTAAACTCTAACTTGAAAATTTGTAGAGTTCAAATCATAAAGTGGAAGTCATGAAATTTATAAGATTACTAGCATTTTAATCTATGAGATGTAGAGATTTTTATTATATTTTTTTATACTTTAATTTTTTAGTTCATTTTAATTGTTATATTATCTTAATAAAAGAATATATATTCTAATTGTTTATTTGTAAAAAAATCATTTATCACATATTGATCTTAAAGTTTTTATTTTAAAAATACATATAATCTATTTGATTCATGATATAAAATGAAAAAAAAATCTAAAGTGCATGATTCATAAATTATGAATTACTAAGTGGTTGAAGAAATACATGAAGTATAAAAATATTTTTACATGAAAATATATAATTATAAATCTAAACCAAAGATGATGATATATGATACAATCAAGTTGAATATATTTTGGGTCATTTATCTTAAAATAAAAGTAAAAAGCATAATCTTTCTATTATTGGTACGTCATTAATTGACCTAAAACAATTATTCACAGATCAAAACAAGCAATGAGATAAACATTTTTCCTTTAAAAAGGATAGCACTTATTTTATTAGAACCAAATTGTATGATCCCAAGAACTAATTCATAATAAAGCAAACTATTTTTGAAATATATGAAAAATGTGAAAAGTAAAATATATATATATTTCTTGATAATAGGTTAAAAATAAAAAAATCACCAAAAATAAAAAAAATACAATTTTAAGAAAAAAGATATTCTAATAAATTATACTTTAATATAAATTTCCTGGAAAAAAATTTAATAAATATCTTTGAACATACCGTCACTATGTGATAATTAATCAAAACTCTTGGCAAAATATATATAAAAAAAGCTACTAAATAAATGTTAAAAGAAAAATGAATTTAAGTAAATATTAGTTTTTATAAGAATAAAATTATAAAAGTAATAGTACACCTTTCAAAGAAAAATTGTAAATTAAAAAAATAATAATGATGTAACATATACTATTTATAAGTTTATTGAATGACAATTAAAGTTTATAGATAATTTTCTAATTGATAAATCTATTTTGAATTTAAAAAATATAATAAGTGATATTTATCTTTTTAAATTTTAAAAAATTTAAAAATAAATGAATATAAAAAAATTTATGAAGGTAAAAATATCAAAATTTAAGATTTTAAAATTTAAAAATAAGATATAACTACATAAGTAATGAAATCTGAATTAAATAAAATTAATTTTCAAATTTTCAAATACATATTATAGTTTTCTTTTTATTTTAAATGGATAATTTTATTTTTTTAATTATTTTAAATTTAAATTGGCCAAAAGAAATGTTGATAATGTGAAACCAAAACTTAAAAATTTTAAATCATGACTTGCTGTAAAATTAAAGAACACTTGCAGTAAAAAATAATAAAAAGTTAATTATAGATAATATGATAAATTTTTATTATATATATATATATATATATATATATGAATTGGTCTTCCATTTAAATTTTGAAAATTTTGGATAACTAAATAATTTTTCAAATACATTTTTTTATAAATAGTCTAAAATTAAAAAGATATTTTATGTGACATTATAAAAGGAAATATTAAGAATTTTCTTACGTGTCAAAAATAAAAATTATCCACATAAACGTCCACCAAGTATGTATCCTATAATATAATATTATATATGATAATAAAAAAGCCTTTTATTGAATTTTTTTATTTTACAATAAAAGTAGTTTAAGAACAGAAAAAGATATTATAAATATTAAGATTTGAATCTTAAATTCGTTAGATGTCACTTTTAAAAATAATTGTATGAATCTACTAAACTAAACTTGAATTCCTTTTATTGACTATTTAATACCCAATATTCGATGAAGTTATATATACTAGTTTTTAGCTTTTATCTTTAAAAATTTAATTTAGTAAATAGTTTTTTGGATGCTACGATAATAGTAATAAATATTAACAATATAATTTTGATTTTAATGTAATATAAGTAAAATTTAATAACTTTTGATATAATTTTGATTTTGATAATCTTTGATATGTTCAGGCAATCATTATTAAAAGTCTTGGTAATTTTGATTTGATAACTTTTGATAATTTTGATTTTAATAAAATCATTACAATTCTAATTTTGATAACCTTTGATAAAATCTTAGTAACATTTGATACAATTTTAGTAACCTTCAATATTAGTGCAATAACTTATAATATAATTTTTCTAACCATTGATACAATTTTGGTAATTTTTAAAAAAATTTAGTAATTGCTTGATATAATTTTGGTAACTTATAGTATCTTTTTGATAATTATTGATAAAATTTATGCAATCATATATCAACAATGTATTTTTGCAACAAAGCGTGAGTGCCATTCTAATATAAGATTTTTTTTTTATATAATAATATTATTGATTCATTTAAATTTAAAATTATTTTACTAAATTTTTTTATTAAATAGGTTCATGGTAGTTTATGTGAAGTTTATATGAACCTCCCTAAATGAAAGTTTTAGTTTCATTTCTATTAGTAATTAAGGTTCAATCCCTAACAACTTCAAATATAAAAAAGTTATTAATAATTGATAATTAAGTTATCATTGATTTTATTATTATGTTCTCAATGACCTATTACTGTGCTATCAATAATTTACTATTAAATTATCATAAATTTATTATTAATTTATGAATGATTTATTACTAAATTATTAATGATTTACTTCTAAATTGTTAATGACTTATTACTAAGTTGCTGAAGATTTACAAAGTTATAATTAATTTACTAGTAATTTATTGATGATTTACTACAAATGCATTAATGATTAACAAATTTATCACTAAATTATCACTGATTTATAACTACGTTATTAGTGATTTTTTACTTTGTAACTAGTGATTTACTACTATATGTTATAATTAATTTACTACTAAGTTATCAATAATTTATTATTATGTTATTATACATTTACTACTATGTTATCATTGATTTACTATTTAGCTTTTGATTATTTACTATAAA